GCTGCTGGAGAGAGAGTGTGAAGGCGTGGCTCACAAGCATGTCAGGTCTTACCCGTCCTGCTCCGAAGGACTCCGGGTTTGTAAAGAGGAAGCACGTGGCTTTCATAAACACCCTCCGGGAGCGTGTATTTTCCTACGTTCTAGCCTTATTTTTTAAGACCAGCAGTAACCTGAACTGGCCCCTGCACTCAGACAGAAACTGCCACCTTCCCACCCAAGCCCAGCAAGTTCAGGGGGGAGAAAGATGAAGGTGTGGCCACAGGGCCATCTCCTCTGGCGTCTGCTCCTCAGTGAGAGCTCCAGCCCCCTAACCCTCTGACCCTGGCAGCTGTGTGGTGCGGCCGTGGCTGGTGAGGCTCCGGGAGGCGGGACAGGTGTGCCGTTGTGCGTGGCGCCTGGGAGAGTCAATACTGAGCGGTCTGTTTGTTCTGTCGGCTTCCACCTGCTGGAAACTCTGTAACTGTAGCCATTCATAACAAGGAAGAAGGAAGCACGGGGAATTCCTGTACTGGGGCAGGGAGTGTCTCCGCTGTTCCCCTGAGGGGACCACGCAGGAGGAACAGGCCTCCAGGGCTGGGCAAGGGCAGCACGTGGGCGAGAAAACAGGACCTCTGGGAGGAAGGCATGAGGCTGAGCGGGGACTCGGGAAGAGGCGAGCACAGCTCCCGGAATGTTGCTGGGCCCTGCAGGCCCGCTTACTGCTCCCCCTACCCCCAGAGGAGGCAGCAGCTCGCAGCACCTGGGTCTAAATGCCACCCCCAGCCCATCTCCCCACCTCTCCAGCCATCACCCAGTTTCCTGCATCACAGGGAAAGCAGGACCCACCGCCCCGGAGCTCCACCCCCTCTCCTCCGGCACCCGGCTCCCCACCCTCCCTCATCCCCCACTTCCGCCCCACTTCTGAGACCCAGGGGCTCAGGTGGAGACTGAGGGGCCTCCCCATCCTGACCCAGGCCCTCCTGCCTCTTCTTGAACCATGGCCTCTGACCACCCCCTCACTCCCCTCCCTTCTCTCTCCCGCAGAGACTTGACCCCAGTCTGTGCATCCTTGAGCCTCCTCTGTGTTTCTCTCCATCTTCCCTCCCCGGCACTGCCAGCCTCCCTGGAGCAGCCACCCCCTCCCCCGCTCCCCACTCACCCCCAAACTCTAGCACTGAGGCTCCCAGCACCCCTCCAAAACACAACAGGACACAGCAAGACAGCAAAAATCCCCTTTCCTTGGGCCAGTCAGCTTGGAATTACCTTCATCACAGGCCTTTACTTCCATCCTCAACT